CTGCATTTTAATTTTAAAGTTATTGTATAGTCTGACTAAAAAAGCAATAGTGGGCTTTAGGCTGAAGGTTTAGTTTATGTTTTTAAATTTTCTTCAAGCAATTTTCATATGATCTATACAAAGGGCTATGGGAAAGCAATCTAATCTGATCGGGGACAGACCTCTCCATTGCAGCCAGGGGAACTGTCTCGGAGGTGGAGCCAAGCAGGGCATGGCCCTAGATCACACCCTCACACACTCATGAATACGTTTATGCTTCCAAGGAGTTAATTTAAGGCAATCTGCAAAACTTATAAGGGGCTACTTGAAAGAAGCGTTGAAGTTGGATAGGACTAGCATTTGACTGGTTTGATGTTCATAGTTTAATTGCTGAAATGCTATTATTAGGGTTCCCTCTTTTTTCTTTTTTTACACATTGTATTAATTATTCGAGGTAAACAAATTGGTATTGGTGTAACAAAAGAAAAACTATATATTTCTTTAGGATATTCTATAAGAGAAACATTTGAATGGCCAATATTAACATTCACAGTAATAAGCCCACCAGCTTTCAGTGTAAGGGATAAAGAAATCCAGAAACTGGTCAGGGGTGGAGAGGAGGTGGAGAAGAGGTTGCATGGAATTTTATTCTAAATTTTCTGCAAGTTTATATCTTGTCCCAGAGGAGGGAGTGAAGAAGGATCTAAATTCTCCACCACGAACTACCTTTTTTTTTTCATAAATTTGCCACAGTCGGCTTTCAAATAGATTCCATAGAAATAGCTGTTGCTTGAACAGGACATAGATAGTAACTCTCCACTGTTAGTGCCACTGTGTGTTTCCAGCCTCTCTAAGAGAACAGCAGGTGAAGACAACCGTATAGGCTCTGGGTCACTTCTTCAAGTGACTGTGACATGGGAGGCAAGGGTGCTCCTGTCTAATCTTCATTTGAGACAGGTATTTTTCAGGAGGATAAAGAAAAGTTCATGATCAGTGAAATCAATAGCAATCTACTTCAGGACACATTTAGGAGAGGAGTCCTAAGGACGTGTCCACTTGGCCAAGACAGACCAATAAAAACAAAGAAGGAAGAAATGAAGGGAAAATGGTTATGGAATGGGTGTGCAGTGAAAGTGGGAGAGAAGAGAGAGAGAGATATCAGAGAGAGAGGAGAAAGGAGAGGTATCCAGGTAACATTCTAGAGATTAATACAATGTGTAACTTACTGATCAGCCAACTACAACTCTCCATGGCATATTTTTTATTTTTCCTCTTAAAATTCTGGGATTAGTTTCTCTTTTATGTATCCAAATTTTAAAGGTTCAGCCAATAAAAATTTAAATTAGAATGTTAATAAAAACTCCAAGTGTCACATCTAACCTCACATCTTTCCCTAGCAGGCTTGCTGTATAGTTTATGACCCAGAAGTAAAAATAACAGCAAAAAGAAATATATTTAAAATTGGTAGCAAATGATGATATGAGTGTTCCAAAGAAATAGAGGAAAATGCTTTGAACTATAGAAATGAAATAGAATATATTTTATTTAAGTTTTGTAAATACTATTGCATGTCTGTAGGTTTCTTTACTCTTTAAAATATAACCCACTAATTTTTAGAACAATTTGAATATTCTATGTGATAAAATTAAAGATATATTTTACTATAGAACAGATTGAAACAAAATCTCCAGAAGAAAAGATAGGTGTAGAAGAACTTTTATCTTCAGTCAAGTTTGGCTAGTCTGCTCTTCTTTTTTTGGGTGGGGAATAAGTTGCTCAGGGCTTAGTCCTGGCTCTGCCCTCAGGGATCACTCCTGGAGGGGTTTGGGGGACCATATGGGGTGCCAGTGATCAAATCCAGATTGACTGAGGGCAAGGCAAGCACTCGACCCATTATACTATTACTCCGGCCCCCAAAATCTTCCCTCCTTTTCTTGCTAATGATGTATCAATGCTCTTCTCTTCTTATAACCTTGAATAACCATCAAGAAAAGAAGGTTCTGTTAAGCAGGGCAAGTGTTTAGGCAGAAATGGTGGTAGAAAGTTTCATTCCAACAATGCTTCTTAACTACTGCAGCGACATTTCACACTGAATGGAACCCCTACCGCCACCCAAGTTTGTAATTTAGACTAGACTAGACAAAGGGATGCTAATGTACATATAACTATCTCATTCTTGAGTTCCTTTTCCTCACAATCTGCAATTGGACCATTTCATTTTGACTATGTGTTTTGTAAACTGAATTCTGTTGCCATCTGTGTGATGAAACAATAACTTTTTTCCTAACTCGCATGTCTGTTTTTGGCTTGGGGGTCACACTGGGTGTTGCTCAGGGATTACTCCTGGCACTACACTCAGGTATCACTCCTGGTGGTGTTTGGGGACCATGAGAGATGCCACGGAGCTGCCTGACCCGGTGTACCCTTCCCTAACTCATTTGTTTTAACTAGTTCTTATCTGTCTCATCATGCAACATTTCAGATAATCCCGCACTCACATATTTTCAATGTATATTTGAAAAAAAATCTGCTACTTTTTATTTTAAATGGCCAGTGTAGTTACAATATGGAACTATCAATGTGCAGTTGCAATTGTTCCTTAAGAAAGAAATGACTCTAATGACATTCCCTCCTTTGCAGGAGTTTCATAACTGATGGTCTCGCCACCTTCTTTGCAGAAGAATTTGGTCATTTAGTCTAATGGCTCCCAATGGGAAAGGAAGTGACACCTGGTCTGTACGTTTTTCTAAGCGATTTGAGACTCTTTTCCTTGGGAAAGGTCTGCGTGAAATATCTGAGGCTGATCAACTTAATATAGATATTTTAAAATCGAAGAATGAGCATAACACCTTTTCTTGGGGAAAGATTCTTTTGCAAGGAATAGAAAGATGGAGAGTGTAAGAAGAAACGCTGGCATTTTCAGATTTTCCTGAATATATCGCAGCGATCCTTATTGTCTTCAGGGAAACTATGAACAGGGGAATGTGTAATAAAACTGCACAATTTGACAGATTTGGACAGCTGCTCCCTCACAAGAAGTTCACATTTTGTTAATGTCACCCACGTTGAATAAGGGACAATTAGATGGTAAGGTCCATTTACAAAAATGGTTGTCAGGACATTTTTTTTTTAATTGTAAAACTTTCTGTGATGGAATTCAGTAAAAGGGCTATGAAGAGAAAGCAAAGGGGACAAAAGACTGCTATTAACCTACAGATGCGGGCTACTGCAGGGTTCATTCCAAGATTTGTCACACTGTTGGGCCAATGAAGTGTTAGTGTGGCTGGCCGGGACCACCCCTTTTCTGGGGTAAGAGGGCAATTTGGTCTCCATGCTCATTTAATCCTGAGACTTCTTTGAATAGACTGTCAATTGAATCTAAATCGTGCAAAATTATGCATGCACTTTTTAATGCAGGCTATTGTCCACTAAGCACTGAACCAAGGTTTCTCAACCCATTTCCATTTGGCATGAGGTCACTTGAAACTTAAGTAATCATATATGGAAGACAAGAGCAGTGTACTTAACCAACCTCTCTACATCGTGGTCGCTATATAAATTGCTCGCTGTGCTTTACTTACAAAAATCTCTTGCTTTCAAACAATAGAGAAATTCTATTGACTAGAAACTTTCTTTTCTGTTTTGTAACTGAGGCTCATACAGTCCCCCAAGGTGAGAGGAACAGGTTTGGAAAGTGAGTGTGTGCTGTGGCACAGAATCCATACTACTCGATAATTTAGATTTTGGGGGAACAGGTGCTTATAAAAGGGCCACCTGGAGGGGATGCGTGAGGAGATGCTTCTTTTTCAGTAGTGTAAAGAAAACATCGTTTTGTTCTAATCCAAACGTGGAGGAGAGCTGACCTCACACACCACGAGAGAAATGTCTACCAGACCGTTAGCAGCTTGAAGTTAGAGCATTCCTTTCGAAAGCTTTACAGAACAGTTACAGAAATTTATTCATACAGTAAACAGGAGACAACGTTCATGGCATTTGGAAGGAACATATACATTAGAAGTCAGTAGGCCAGAAGTGTTATATTAAAAATTGGTACAAGCGACTGCTTACATAGCCACGATTTGTTAAACATGCATGAGCTCTTCAGTGAGGTCTGATTTACGGACATCTGCAACATTCTAATCACATATACTCTGACAGTCTGGCTCTCGTGAAAAGCACTTTACAAATGTTTAATGCTGAAATTTTATAGGGATTGGCTGTTTTCTTGCTTTTTCATCCGTCGGGAATGATTACATGTTGGTACAAGGGTACACGGCTAGATTAGCTCCACACAGCACGTTAAATACTGTTTGCTTTCTCACTCTCCTTCTTTCCAATTAAGTTGGTGAAAAATGTAACTTTAGAATTTTACAGGAGAGGGTAAAGGTGTTTCATGTAGGTGATGTCTATATTATAAAAATAAAATAAAAATATAAATATGTAACGCAAACCCAGTGCCTATTGTTAAATAAAATATACAATAAAAGCAGACCTTTTAGGGAGACTGGTTTTAGAATATGCTGTTATGATTCAATTATTAAACACGTTTAAACAATCTGAGAATAAGAGAGTAACCAGGTTTCTCAGCCAATAAAAAAGGCAAGCACATAACATTCTGTAATTGGATACATCGATAAAAATGTAGATTACAATTTTAAATCAGTGTTGCCCATTTATAAATTCAGCAGGGAGTTCTGAAAATGCTCCCTCAGATTATAGTTCCTCGATATGAAAATAGCATTTTTTTTATTTGAGCCATCCGATTTGCACAGTAACATTTCCAAACTCCATTAAAGTTGACCGGAGTTATTATAGACAGAAAATTCCTGGGAAGTCAAATCATCTCTTCTGATGACATAAAAATTCCGTTATCAATTTACAATGGAATTTCTGTGTAAATTACTCTGCACATGGAAATATATATATATATATATATATATATATATATATATATATATAACACCCATCTGCTACGCAACCCACGTATGACAGGGTGGTGACTGTGTGTGTGGACATGCCTATTTGAGCAGATGTGCCCCCCCGTACACACACAGGATCTGCACATTTCTGGAAATCATTTTTTTAAATTAATAGAAGAAAATGAAATCACAGGAGTGTGGAGCAGGATAACAGTCTTTCTTTTTAATGATAGGAGAGAAAAGAAATGCCCGTCGGAAATAGTCACACAGTCCCAGGAACTATACAATGTAACTTGTTAGATCCAGCAAGTAAGATGTCATGTCAATGATCTGGTCAAGAATACCTGCCCGGGTCACCCTGCGGATGCTTCTGTCCATATGCTCGCACTGAGAGCCCAGGTAGCCTTTCTTGCAGAGACACTTGTTGGGTCTGACGCAGACACCTCCGTGCCGGCAGGCGGGCTCACATTTTGCTAGGAGGAAAAAGAACAATCACATGGCACTCTGCTTCGCTCTCTCTGATGAGGAGGCCAGTGAAGGCGACACCAGGGGAAGGGCAGGAGTGGGAAAGGGAGCCCATCCCCAGGGGAGCCAATGAGAACCAGCTTGAGAAGGAACGGGGAAAGCCAGCTTCACGGTCGAGTCAGAACTCAGCCGCGAAGGGAACCAATGTCCAGAGACCAGCGGTCCTCACAGGACACTATCTCGATCCTGGCAGAATCAGTTCTGCCACAGAGGAGGATGGCAGGGGTTCCAGTCTCTGTTTCACTAGAGCATTTCCAAAAGAGGGTTTTCTGAGTAGCCCCCTTCCTCTAAGGCAATAAGAACGAATGAAAGCTGCCAAGTTTGGCTTGATTAGATGGATTAGGGGGCCAAGCCATTCCTTTTCCCAGGGGACACAGCCCTTGTCCCCTCTGCTAACACTCAGATGCTCCTTCCTCTTGGGTTGGCGTATAAAGGACAATAGGGATGTTCTGAACAATTCTTTGTCAGGGTTACTAATAGCGCCAAATAATTTCCTAAAGAAGTTTTTAAAATTATTTTTATGCCACACTCTATTAGGGAATGGGAAGGTTTGCTGGTACAAGGCCATAGAGAAATCAAAATTGGGCATCTGCACTCAAGTCTTTTACTGATGGTGGAAACCTGGGGCATGCAGTCACTCTAGATACAAAGAAAAACCCTCAAATTTGCCTTCTATTCTGTCAGGAGACAGAGTCATTTAAATCTCAAAATTCAATGGGGGTTTTCTATTTGATGCATGGAAAAAAAAAGAAGAAAAGAGTTAATTTTTTTCCCCTTTAAGTCTGTGAAAATTACATGCAAGCAACATGAGCGTATAAATAAGCTCTGTTGGGTTCAAAATATCCTAATAGGGATGGGAGTGATGGTTCAGAGGCTGGAGTGCATGATTTACATGCAGAAACCACAATTCAGCCTGTGTGGTCCTCTGAGCACTGCCAGGAGTGACCCCAAACACCACACAGAGAGTAACCCCTGAGCACCACCAAGAGTGGCCCCAAAACAAACAAAAAAATCCCAAGAGGTCAGATCTATTCACACTACTTGTGCACATTTAAAGGAAAGATCAAATTACTCAATTAAAATAAATTCAAAGAATGTTAATTCAAAGAATATCACATATTGATATCTGTTAATGGTGAGTGTAATGTCACCTGTACTTAAAACAATTTGTGTACCATCAATTAAAATGTACTAGAAGATCCTCGATAAATAATTTATTTGATGGCCTGAGGTAACTTAAGAAGTCAAACAAAATGCAGTGTAAGGAATAAAATAGAACGAGGGCTTTGAAGAAGAAGCAGAGAAAATACATTAGAATCAAGGAAAAGAGAGGGAGAAGAGTATCAGGACTTTGAAGGGTATTGCATTTGAACACCGATTCTCATTCTGAGAAATATGCTTCTGTCATAATCAATATCTTAATGTTATTTGTGTAGAAGTAATTTAATTTTAAGATATACTTTATGTAAGATGTATACATATAAATATTGTTTACTTTTTGTTAGATCTTCTATAAAGTAGATAAGCTATACTTTCTTAGATAAGGTATGATTTTTAAAAACAAATATATGCCAAGAATGAAGCAAAAAGGCCATTGGTGAGTTAATGTTAAGTGTGAACCTGGAACTCCGTCGTGGTTACTGCTAAGAAAAATCTTAATATTGAGATAGGAGAGATTCAGAGTAAATGAGGTGTAAGTAAGTAAGGTGTACATGCTGGTTGTTAAAAATGCCCTTTGAACATATACAGGTTGAAACTCTAATGATCAAAATTATCTCTCTTTACACCAGGGAAAATTCAGATATCACTGCCTGCCATGAGGAAATCTCCAATCAAAGTGTAGAATGACCCTGGAATAAATAAATCTCCATTGCTTTCTGCGAACAACTGCACAATTTGTTGATAATTCATAAGGGAATGGCAAAACAGGATTCTAAACTCTTCATTAATTTGCTTTCAGATAACTGCATTTCCCCGTCCTATTTAATAACACCCATTGAAAAGGCCCTGGTTATTGTGGGTTCTTACCCGGAAAGCATGCAGCCAAGTGAGAGAGGGCATTTTAGGGATGTGGAGGAAAGGCTGGCACTGGCAACAAGGCTGGAGCTAGGGAGGAGCCCCAAACACAGAGCTGGCCAAGCTGGTCACACTGCACTGGTTCTTTTTTTGTGTTTTGTTTTGTTTTTTTCATTCTTCACTTTTTGATAGGATTGATTCAATTAGGGAGCTCCAGAGCAATGCTCAGGGGAAGGAAGCAGTTCCAGAGACATCTAGTCAACCTGGCTAGATGGCTCAATGCTCAGGGGCCTGGGGATGTGATGATGGCAGTGTGTGTGTGTGTGTGTGTGTGTGTGTGTGTGTGTGTTGGGTGTGGCCCCAGGAACATTTTGGATATGATACACCATGTAGTGGTATGTCATTGCCACTGTCACTGTCACTGTCCTCCCGTTGTTCATCGATTTGCTTGAGCTGGCCCAGTACTGTCTCCATTTTGAGACTTGTTGTTACTGTGTTTGGCATATTGAATACGTCACGGGTAGCTTGCCAGGCTTTGCCGTGCGGGTGAGATATTCTCGGTAGCTTGCCGGGCTCTCCGAGAGGGGTGGAGGAATCGAACCTGGCTCGATCGGGCTGGCTGCGCGCAAGGCAAACGCTCTACCGCTGTGCTATGACTCCAGACTGTAGTGATATGACAAGGGTCATACCTTTCAGTGCCCAGATGCTACCAGGACCATATTCGGTGGTGCTGGGGAATCTCTAGGATTATACCCAGGTGCTGTAGGGGGGGTCTCCAGGGCCATATCCAGCAGTACTTTGGGGGGCCACCAAGGGTCACCAAAGCTACACCTAGCAGTGCTAGGACCAGGGACCAACCTATGGCCCTGAACTCAATCTCTAAAGGTCTTTCGTGTTTATGATAAGCTTATACAGGGAATCATCCATGTAACAAAAATGGGCAAGGTTTTTTCCACCAGTGTGGAAACAGGACTTTAATATGACCAATATGGCAAAAACAGTGCTGAATGCCAGCTAATTCTAGAAGCAAGAGGCAAGGGGAAATTCCTGGATTCTTAAGGGCAGACCCAGTCCTGGTGGCATGGGGTACCCCAGAAACACTCACCGATTCTGCAGAAGTCCCCTTCCCAGCCGGGGATGCAGCAGCACTGGCCCGTGGGGGTACAGTAGCCGTTCCGACAGAGCCGGGCACATTCGGAGGTCATCGTCTGTGCAGGCTGGACCGGGGCTCTGCACTCCTCGGGAAGGACAGGTCTGAAACACGAGAGGGAAAGGTCAGGGTCAGAGGCAAGAGAGGCCAGAGCGGCAAGAGCGGCACTGAGCTTTTTTTTTTTTTCCCTCTCCTCATTTTCTTTTTCCTTTTGGGGGGTTTTGGGCCATACCTGGGAGTGCTCAGGGCTTACGTCTGGCTCTGTGCTCAGAGGTCACCCCTGGAGGTAAGAGGGGGAGCTTCTCTGGTGCCGGGGATAGAACCAAGGTCAGACACATTGTACTATCACTCCAACCCTACCTTTAGCTTTCTTAAAATAAGCCGTGAAAAAAACTCAGACTCAGCAGGACCAACCATTTTCAGAAAATGAGAAATCCCTATGAGGGGAAAAAACAAAGTTCTGAGCTTCCCAGCTTCCTCTGCAATATCACAGGCTACATCATCTGCCTCAAAATTCATGGATGCGGAAGTAATTACAGCGTATTGATATTTTGCAGCAGGAAAACTAAGAATTTCTCACAATTACAATGAAAAAATAAAAGACAGGTCCCAATGCCAAAACTTTTTTTTTTTCTTGCATAGGAATAGCATCTGAAGAATGTTTCACCTGTTAGTCAGAATCACAGGGGCAGGTTCATTTACCAAAAAAGCATTTGTAGCTTAGAAAGCTTGGGAATTAACAGTTTTTTTCAATTTTACATTTCGTTTTAGGCATCTTCTCAGTCTTTTAAAAATATGACATCAGAAGTACTGTATGTCATATGACATATTTTAAACTATCATAGCTTGGGCTATGTACAGAATGATTCATAGAAATAATACGCACACGTGCATACAGTATATACACATGGATATGCAAATACATGAAATGCATTTACATACGCATTCCTATATGTAAGAATATACCAATCACAAGAATACTAATGGCAAATAGGAACATCCTAGCTGCCCAGTGAGATATTACAGACTTTGTTTTAATATCTCACAATGTGCTCACTTGAAGAAAGGACCAAGATAAGTTCAGGAGACTTTATGGTTCTAGTATTTTAAGAGTCTTGTTTTTCAAGCAGGGTAAGGCAGGAATTATACTTCCCAACTAATGTTTGGCAGGGGGTGGGGGGCAGGGCATGCAGTGACAGTCTCTCCTAGCCCCAGCTGCCCCTGTGACACCAGGACTCTGTACAGCTCAGGAATGTCAGCCCCATTTCCTCCCCAGTCAAATGGCACTCCTTAAATATCAGTACAAAGAACGTGATCATTACAGGTCAAGCCACCACAAGAGGTAACCAGTTGAGCTCTCTGAGATAAGCTCTAATTAGAGCCTGGAGCCTAAGTTTTCTGGAGATAGGTCACCATGTTAGATCTCTATTGCAATATGAATAGTGATCATAACTTGGGCCTCAGGCTGTTTCCAGAATGACTCAAAACTCCATTAGAAACATACAATGACTCTTTAAGCTCCTGTCTTCCAGTGTTATTCCACTCCTTAGATTTAAGTACTGTTTGGCAACGAATGTGGCGATTCAGAAAACTTCCTCCACCTATTCCGACTCTTATCTCAATCTAGGAGCAGCTGATTTATGGAAAGGTCCTTAAGGTATTCCATGAGCAGAACATAATTTCATTCAGAAAACATGCCTCTTTCCAAAGGAATCTTTCTGAGAATAAGAAGAGGGTGGGGCAGAGGGGGAGAGAATGGTAAATAGTTAAGCCAAGAAAGTGAGGGTGTAAACTTCTTTTCCCTGTGGTTGCTGAAACACTACGTCTGCTCTATTTCTTCCTTATCTGAAATTCTTATCTTATTTGTAAAATGACGGTGGCATTCTGGACCATGCATGGGAAGAGGATTTTATTGTTCGAGATTCAATTATTTAATTTCAATGGCCACAAAATTCTTCTGAGGTCATGATTAGTTAGGAACTGGCACTTAGTCAAAAAAGTATTTGAAATTTTACTGGCCTGAAGTTCTGTGAATTCATTTTCTCTGTTACTATGTGCCTACGCTCTTTCTGACTGGTGGAAAGAGGAATAGAGACAGGGTTTTAGGGTCCATTCCTGGGGTGCTCAGGTCTTAATTCCTGGCTCCCTGCTCAGGGATCACTCCTGGGCGATGCTCAGGAGGCCACTTGTGAAATCAAGGACAGCAACCAGGGTCATTTGTGTGGAAGACAGGTGTTTAAACCCCTACACTCTTTTTTTGTTTGTTTTGGGGAGGGGGAGGCATACCTGTGGTGTTCAGGGCTTACTCTTGGCTCTGCACTCAGAAATCGCTGGGGGCTGGTGTGGGGAGAAAAATGGGGGTGCCAGGGATCAAACCTGGGTCAGCCGTGTACAAGGCAAGTGCCATACCTGCTGTAGTATCTCTCTGGCCTTGATCCCTGTACTATTTTTCTGGCCCTAGACACTTTTTTGAAGGAAAGGGAAAATTTGAGAGCAAAAGCAATCTATCATACGATGGGATGACTTTTCAGTGACTAGTGAGAGCCAATTATACAGATCCTCAAGTAGCAGGACTGTGGATGGCTTTTAGTTTATAATGTTTATATTCAACTAAATAAATGAGAAGCACTCGGTGTGTCTGTAAAGTAGCAGAAGTTAAACCCTGCTGGCGTGGGCCTGCACCCCAAGTTTAAAGAGGTTGAAATCTATTGTGTCAAGGACAACTACTAAATTTTCAAAATTTTGGTCAGGGGTCCAGATTTTAATTTTGCTATAAAACAAAGGAACACAGACAAGGAGTCATACTCAAATAAATAGTCCGGACTTTTTGTCAGCTGCATGAGATATAAGAATTCTACAGCTTCTTTTGGGGCAATGATCTGTTTAAAGGGGAAGTGAAGAAAATCTCTCTCATTCCTTTCCCCATATCTACACTGGGCCATATAGGGCTCCTTTGTGAGATGACTTTCTCCTCTGCTTTTCCCATTCTCAGGGGGCAGGAAATGAGGGGAGGTTTACATGCTCACCCCTCCCAGGATACAGCTTGGTACCTGGTGGAAAGCCAGAATCTGGGTTTGATTGGCCTGACCAATTCCCAGGGTGCGAGCTTTAGCTTGTCCGTCATGGGTGAGTTCAAACTGGAAGGGCAGGTTCTAATGGGGGCCCATTTCTCAGCCAGAAGCATCACCAGTGGCCGGAAGTGAGTGTGTTTAGGAGCTCCCAAGCACGGTCTGTCTGGTGGTGATGTGTGGGGTTCAGATGCAACCTTTCCTGAGCACAGAGCCAGGAGGAAGCTTTGAGCATCACTGAGTGTGATGCCAAAATCAATAATAACAACAACAACAACAACAAAACACACACCAAAAAGCCAACCAAAAAAAAGTAGGCACTCTATGTGTGTATTTATGGCATAAATAAAAATGTATATATATTTTTAGAATTATGAGGGTGGACAAAACTTATGGTCTTTTTTTTTTAATCTCCATACAGGGTCTTTAATATCTTTGTTTCTCTGTCCTGAAATACTCTGAAAAACAAGATAGACTGGGGCTGTATTCTCCCTGCCAGTTATGTCTTTATATGAAGAGCTATAGTATCTGATGATAAATTAACTACAACAGAAGTCCAAATAAGCAATGAGCTTCCACCTTTGTTGGGAGAATGGGGAAGCACAGGACTTAAAGAAACACTTGGAGAAGTTTTAGTTCTTAACAAATGAGATTCATCTTGAGGACTCGATTTTTCACTCTTCATATTCTCCATTTTATGCCTTTTTAATGAACGCTAGTTGTAAGTGGCAATGCATTCAAGTTTCATAGCCATCCGTATAATTGCTCTAGGAACTGATATTCCAACATTCAACCTTGGTAGTGTAAGACTATACTTAGGATAAAGCAAATATTCCCTTAAATGCAGTTTTCTTTAAATTTTTTTTTTTTTTTGGTTTTGGGGCCAAACCTTATTGTGCTCAGGGCTTACTCCTGACGGGCTCAGGGGACCCTATGGGGTGTTAGGAACCAAAGTAAGGTCTGTCACATGCAAGGCAAGAGCCTTACCTGCTGTAGTATCTTTTCAGCCCTGAAGTATTTCCTTTAAATATGTTCAATCTCTAGGAATTAGGATGTATCATCTATCTCGAGCGGGCCCAGTAACGTCTCCATTGGAGACTTTGTTGTTACTGTGTCTGGCATATCGAATACTCTCGGTAGCTTGCCGGGCTCTCCGAGAGGGGCGGAGGAATCGAACTTGGGTCGGCCATGTTGGCCGTTTGTAAGGCGAACACCCTACCCGCTGTGCTATCGCTCCAGCTATCAAACATATATACAAGTTCATTCATATACATATATACTCATATATATACATGAATAAAAGTGAAGTGTATACACACATGCACAAAACCTTTGATAAGCATTTTAAAATAACACAATCATACAGATGCATGTTTCTTCACAAATTATATTTATCTGGAACAGATGCTGGCTCTATGCAACACACATGGTTTGTCTGAGTATGTTTAGGTATGTGGACGCATACATGCACAGATGCAAATCCTGCTGAAGTATGAATCAAATTCCATGTAGACTTAGGCCATGGCAGTGAATTAGGCCTACCTGCTCACCCATTTCTTAGAAATCGGGATTTAGGTCTTATCCTCTTCTTCTCTAACTCTGTACTTTGGAAATGTCTAATGCTACTTGATATCTTAGAAAAGGCTTGATTAGCAGATGTGGCATCGTGTCTCCCCTAGGTAAAACCCAGCATATCAAACATAAAATATGAGCTGGCAGACAAGTCTCTGCCAATTTTTAGTGATAAGCCAGGGAGGAAAATAATCATCCCTGGTTGTGGCACATGCATCCTGTCTTTGAGACTTCAAATCCACCATGCGGAATGGATTTTTATAGGGCATCTACTTGCTCATGACCTCTAGTGTTGAGAAATTCTGTCATGTTTGAAAACTAGTCCCTGATGGAGCCTGTGTCCCTGTTAATAGCTGAAAGGTCAATTGAGCTGCTAAACAGTTTGTGTTACTATCCGGGTGGCCATGAAAACCAGTCTGCAGCGAGGGGACTTGGCAGCTGGGTCAACAGGCACTGCGGGGATT